GCAGTAGATGCCAAAGCATTATTTTCTGTATCTTAAGTATTGGGAAACCTCATTGTCAGTGGAGCTCCAATGATTGAATGCTTTCCATGAGAAGCAGTACACAGTGCACTTACCCTTCTATTGAAACCCAGTCTTGCTGCCATGATTGGCTGGAAATATGAGTTTTCGGGTCAGTTGATGGCAATTTCTTTCATTGACTGGTTAGAATTCCCTTGATGGGAAGCAAAAGATTCAATCCATTTGTAGTCCTCCTTAGTAAAGTGCATAGAATTTTGTAAAATTTCCTGACAGAATCCATTAAATCAAATCACTTTAAGATTCCTTAAATGAGAACCAAGTTTGTCTGAGTTTCTTCATCTGTAAAGTGAAGGGAACTTGGTGTTTACTGGGCACAGTGGCTTCCATTTTAGAGGTCCCAGTATCCTAAGGCCAAAGAAGCTAGTAATGAGAACCAGATACATTTATGATAATCCACATACTCAATGGATCATTAAATTTAATTTTAGTTGGCTGTCTATTCAATTTTTCACGCTTTCAGATGAGGTTGGTCATCAGCCCCGTGTTACTCTCAGACTTCATATTAACGTGGTTGGTTTTAGACAAAGTAGGAAGGAGCAAAAGGTTGTAAGGAAGGAAACATTAATATTTCCCAAACAATGTATTTGCTTATTGATCTTAGCATCTTACTTGGAGCAAACTGACCTGCTGCCACAACAAGCTTTGGATAATAGAAACACAAGTAGGGGTTCAAGACTTGGGGAAAGCAGTGGGGAGGAAGAAAATGATGCATGACTTTCCCTCTAGATTTGATTTGATTGTTATAAAGAGAGAGATCATGGACTATAGAGGTTGTATGTGTGAGAGTGTGTGCATGCATGTGTGACAATGCATGTAATTTCAGCTGGACCACACCTCACATGACTTTCTTTCTGAATACATGGCTCTTTTGTAGACTGTTCATCAACAGACTGTAGAGCAGAGCTTTCCAGTAGAACTTTCTGCAGTGATGGAAATATACCTCTGCTCTGTCCTGCACAGTAGCTTCTAGGCACATGTGGCTGTTGACCATTTGAAATGTGGCTAGTGCAACAGTGGAGCTTCATTTTAGTTTTATTTAAGTTTAATTAATTTAAATTAATAAAATATTAATAGCTACACGTAGTCAGTGGTAGAATATTGAATAGTACAGTCACATACTCCCTATTGATTGATAGCCATATATAAAATTCAGGTGTTCTTTATAAGTTCTTTTGTTGAGTGATTCTAAAGACTGATGCATTGATCCTTTGATGAGTGAAAAAGACCAGCTATGCCATACATGAGGCCATCCTCAAACTGGGTATCTCCTCTGTGCCCACCTGTATACTCCCCCCCCTTCTGTGGTGGCTGAAAGTACTTCAGCTCTTGCACCATCAGACCTTGTCTCTGAGACACCAGAACAGAGGGTCTGGTTAACCAGAGTCCCAGAAGTGCATATCAGCAGCCATTTTCCCTGAATGAGTCCATTTGGCTGAATTCTCATTAATAAGTGAGAGAGACTGAAAATTTAGAGCCAAACACCTGTAAAAATCATGAAGTTCAGTATTTTCCAAGTGTGGAATCTGTAATGCTATGGTATGTGAGATGATTTTAGTTAGGTGCACAATAATCTGCTTTGATGTAATATTTTAATTACACTAGTTAGCTTATTTTAATGCATAATTTAGAGTTAATATTTACATAGTATCTCTGTTTCTTTTGTCTTTGTGATACTACCTATACTTAGTGACATTGTGGAGACAAAGGATCACTTTTAAAAGTACATTTTAAATTCTGAAAAATGTGTTCTAACAAAAGTATCTGTGACTCACTTGCTTTTCAGCAGATTACAATCATGCTATCACTATCTGTTAAAGTGGGAAAATAATTCACATATTCCTATCTGGAAAAAAAAGATTGATACATCTGATGGAGTCAGGACTGAAGGAATGAGCTGGAGGCTATGGCTGAGACTGCCAGAAGTGTGGATACAGATTTCTAATTCACAGATACTCTTCTTTGTTCCCAGTTCCATGACAAACAATCTGTCTTTTTTTTTTTAAGCAAGTTCTATAATTCTGTTCTGAGTCCTTGATTTGATTGAGGCATATATTGATGGAAATATAAGGAAATACGTTATCGCTCTTTCCCTTGAACTCACCATCTGGTTGGAGAGATAAGTTGGCTGGTTCTTTGAGCAGTAGGAGAGCAAGAATAGTTGAATTAAGTTTAATTACATTTCTTGGGCCAGTCTTTGAGGCTGTGTCCCTAGATGAGGGTGGACCTCATTGACTCAGTTGCTCAATACAAGAAAATGAACCAGGCTTGTTGTAAATCCCAGACATCTTGTTGCAGTAACAGATATGTTTTTGTCCCCACGAGTGACTGTTGGCCATAAATGTTTATTCCCAGTGAGGAATCCTTTCATGTTAATTAAAGCAGGCTTATAGGAACCATTTTAGAGACTTGCACTTCAGCCTGTTTGTCATCAGTCTACTCTGTTTTTGTGTCTGAACTGTGCCCTTGTGAAATGAGGGATTCATTTTTTCAAGTTTGATTAAATAATTGAAAGAATAAGAATGGATAACTACTCCTTAATTTCTTTATTTCCTCTCATATCTTATTTTTTCTGATTTGTGGTTCCAGGTTTCTCCCGTTCAGTCCAGAACACATAAGATTCATCTGAATACATGAATCTTTTTTTTATTATTATTTTTTCCACAGTCATCTTCCATGATAGGATTATGGAGAAGAACCTAGTGTTCAGAATGGGTCTTGATGTGAAACAGAGCAAGAACAGCTGTATAACTGAGGAAGGAAAACAGATTATGTGACTGATTATGAGTGTTTTGACAGATGGACCAGAGCCATGACTTTAAATATTAAGTTAGCACCGTGGCTAATGGAGAACCTATTATGTGGAAACTACAGGTTGGTCATTGAATGATAGGCTCCTGTTATTAAAAGTAAAAGCTTCAGCCTCAAATATTAGGGTCATTTGGGTGATTGCAGAACTTTTGTTCACATATAAATTATATAAAAATGTCAAAATATCCTTTCTATTGCAGTGATCATGAATGCAGATGTTCTAAGTGGTGATGTGGGAAGCAGTGTCCTCAGCTTTCTCCTTCATAAATTCCTTCCCTCCACAAAAGCAGGAACTGGGCTATAGCTCTAGTCCACTTTGTCTGAAACAGAGTTCTATTTTACTTTGACTTAAAGTTACAAGTGCTTACCAGATGGTTTTAGAGACAGCATCTTTCGAGAATCATGTTACCCACTGAAGCCAATAAGAGTGGGTCAGAGGCTGGCTGAGTTCATTTCTACCACACTGGGCCACCCCGTGCAGTTTACAATAACTTCAGTTTCTTCTTTCTTCAACAGAAGATTATTTGGATTTAAAAACAACTTTTTATCCTTTTTTTGGAGAAAGTTGGCATGTCTGATTGTGTATTTGGGGGGCTCTCCCACCCCTAGTCTACAGAAGGCAAGGTGGAGGCAAAACATCAGTGCTCATTCTGCTTTCATAAGCAGAGCATTACTATTATAAAGCAAATTTGTAGAAATCAGTAAAATTATATGAAGGGTAGTAAAGCAGCTTATTAGTGTGGAGTCAGGCTTATTCACTTTATGAGGTCTATATAATTAATTATTAAAGGGTAAGACATTTACAGAAATTGTAAAAGCATTCTGTTAAGGTCAAGGCAATTAAGATTCAAGTTTAAGCACCTTCTGCCTTTGTCCTGATACCAGAACTCTGCATTCCATGATGAGGGTTGAGGTGGAGGACTATTTGCTGTACTATATCTAGACAAGATTGCAAAAAAACAAAAACAAAAACAAAAACACTTATTCTTCCTTCTAACTCAGTTTCTTAACTGAAGACTCTACTTTCTGAGGTGCCTGCATTCACATGAATTTTATGTGTTCTGGACTGAAGGGGAGAAACCTGGAACCACAGGTCAGATCTGGCCACAGAACTTATCTGCTGTTTACCAGCTCTGTAATCTGGAACCAGTCATTTCTCTTCTGTGACCTCCTCTCTTCCCATCTATGAAAAATGACTCTACTACTCTTCACTTCCTTAGATGTTTGCAAGGGTGCCACAAGATGTGTAAGCAGCTGGCACTTGGGGATCTCTGGCCCACACAGTGTTCATAGGTTGAATCTCTCTATAATGTGTTTTCTTCAAAAGAGCCCTTTCAGGCAGTGTCTCCAAATAAGAAGAGTCTCATGTTTACAAGTCAGACAAACCCGTGATTATGAGCTCATCTGAGCTGTATATGTGAACCAGGACTTTAGAAGAACTTGGGCTTTGAGTCTGGGGTATTGCTGTTAATGCCGAGGAAGGAGCACTAGACCAGATCCAGGAGAACAGGGTTTTATTCTGGCTCCACTCCATACTAGCAGCGTGATTTTGAGCAAATCAGATCACCTTTTCAGCATTGAGTCCTCATGTGGCAAAAAACCGTATAACCCTGTGGTATGGTTGTACTCTGTGTGAGACTTCTTGAGTTGAATCCTAGTTCTGTTTCATGCTGTGTGACCTTGGACAAGGACATAAGCCAGATGTGCCTGTTTCCTTCTCTGTAAAGTGAGCAAAATGGTCATACCTACCTCACATTAGTTTATCCAAGGCAAAATCTTCCTTTTGTTTTAATGTGCTATGGGGACATACAAAAGACAACTCTTACTTTACCAAGTCCCCTTTTAGAAGATTTAGGGAGATCTGTCTCAAAGTATTTTGTTTCCCTTGGTTATCTGTGTGACAGAACAAAATACTTAAAAACACTTTATAAATACTGTATATGCCAAGGATGTACTGCTAGGAAGAAAAATAACCAAAAATGGGAAAGGAAAGGAGGAGGAGCAGAATGAGGAAGAGGGTAAAGAGGAGATGATGATGATGATGATGGTGATGATGATGATGGAGGATATCCACCCCCAGAGAAGTAACTGTGTCCCTGTGGATTTTTTGGCAGGAATATCACACGTGTCTTCAGGATCCACACAACTATGAGAGCAGAAGACTTCTCCTCAGCTGGAACCAAAGGTAGGTGGCTTTTCCTACACCAGGATTATTTTCTAGTTCATGGAATGAACTCTTTTATGATTAGGAGTGGAAGCAGGTCCTTTCCCTCCTAGTGTCAGCCCCCAGCCTGCCTCAGACCCAGCCAGGCCAAGGGGAGATACGGCATGGGATGATTGAACTGAGATGAACTTTCAGGGACCTAGCATGGGGACGTGGCCTCAGCAATGTTGTTTTCTGAGAAATTATGATGCTGGGTGAAACACGAGGTGGAGTCAAACAGACCCTTGGCTGCTGCTGCCAGTCCTCTGTGACTGTCCTTCAATACCAGGTCAGTGCCACTTCCTTACTCTTTGCTGGCTTTTATTTTATGGACCTCTCGGTGTTGGGCTTGAAGACTTGATGGGCAGAGCATTGGGCTGAAAGTTAACTAGGCGTCGGTTGGCTCTGGTTTTGTCATTAATGACATTTGTGGGAGCAGTCATGGCTATCTTAATGTTTACAATGTTGGCTATTAAATCACAACTTTGTTATTCTGGAGTCTTAGATCTGAGAGAGGAGGAGTAAAATTAGAGG